TAAAATCAGAAATATTAGAGTCGGGAATATTAGAATCAGAAATATCAGAGTCGGGAATGTTAGAATCAGATATATTTTGTCTTTTATTAGAAGCAAACATTTTTTACTGAAAGTATTAGAAATAACGATAAAATAAAAAATAAATAAACATATAATGAACATTATTTATAGTTGCTGATTCATAATATGATTAGGCGAGACCAACTGGATTATGTGTTTTACATTACCCCCCCCCTCTCATAACCCTCCCCCCCTCTTTTATAGTAAATAATTATTATACAGTATAGTTTCAAATTTTGGCCTAAATTAAGATTAATTTGGGCCAAAGTTTGAAAATATACTCATGAATATTATCATACGGATATATAATAGATAGATTTTTTATAGCCACCATTATTTTTAAAAAAACTTTATTTTATATATTTTATGTAATATTAACATATATTTATAAAGTAAAAAAATTAACCTTCTAATGGCCGTTTTTTGACTCTCATTTTACTAGTCTTAATTTCAATTTGAGTAAAATGATCTTTTCCTAATTCTTTACATGTTTTACAACATGGATAAACTTTTTTATATCTATCAGTTAATGTAGTTGGTAAATCGGATAAATCATCTATTGCTCCACACCAATAACAAAGCTGAATTTGATCTCCTTTTGTACATGCATAATAGTTTGTCTCAATAGGTGAGTTACATGAAATAAGTTCACAAACAAAAAGAGTATTATACAATGGATGTTCTTCATCAAAAATTGGACTTCCACAGGTATATAAATTATCTTGAAGTGCTATTTGCCACTGTAATTCCTCATCTTCACTGAGAGAATTCTGGCTGTAAAGGCAACGCCATTTTCCACAAGATGTACATTCTACCCAACCATTAATGTTCTTGTGTATATAAAGACCATTAGGACCACGTTCTTGCCCTTCTTGTTTTAATAATAAAGATGGACAATGATTTTCATTAGTTTTATTTCCATACATTGAATCAAATGAGCTATAGTGATTTGGATCTAAATATTTAAAAAGTTAATAAAATTAAATAAATAAATAATTAATTAATTAGTATTCAAAAAAAACAAACCGTCAGCAGATGGTGTAGGATCAGGTAAAAAGTTAAGTGAATCAAACTTTTCAAATGGCATTCGTATAGGCATACAAAAAGAACAACTATCTTGGTTACATTTTTTAATCTTAAAGATATATTAAATTAGTAATATTATAGAAATTTAAAAATAATCAAATAAAATAATATATTAACCTGAAAAGAATACAATCTTTGTTGGCAATGAGTTTTTAAAAATTCTATGAGTTTTTTATGTTTTTTTAATTCTGCCCATGTTGTTTCATTAATTTGAAGAGATTTATCAATGCATTCCATTTTCTATAGTATAAAATAGTTTAGTTATTTATTAATATTTAAATAAATAAAAAATTTACCTTAAACAATTCATTTATATCATCATTTGAAACAGGATTGTAGCATTTAAATGAATTATTATTTAAAACTAATCGTTTAGTTCTTTCATTTAACAGATTTTGAATATTATTAATACTATTCATTAATTCTGTTTTTAAACTTTCATTAATCTTTGCTGCTTTTCGAATTTCATCAATGGTATCTAATTGCTTAAAATTTTCTTCTTGTGTAATACTAAAATCATTTCGTACTAAAGCAATATTTTGTAGACCTAAATTAAGAATTGACATAATCCTTTCTGTAGGATTTGCCCAACTATGATATGGTGCAGTTCTCATTGCAATAACCATATCAAAATCACCTTTAAAAAATAATGAAATTAGAGAAACTTGAACAGATCCAAAATTTGTTCTATGATCAGGACCACCATCAGTATATAAGCATAAAATTGGTGGTATTTCATTAGAAAACTTATAATCAATTGCCTGAATAAATTCAGTTGCATGACGAATTGCACTACTATTTTCAAATACTGTATTTTTATATCCTACATAAACATCTCCACTATAAAAAGAATCAGAGATATCATCTGGAATATCGCAAAAAAAAATAACTGATGGAGTAATTGACAACTTTGTAAAATCATGATCGCATGCAGAAAGTTGACTATTAACTGGAACCATGGTTGGTCGATTTCGAACTCCAGTTGATGTAGGAACTTTTTCACCAATTGGAATTTTATGTTTGTCATCTGCTGAAATAAAACATACAAATTCCTTATATAAAATAGCAAACTCACGTAAATATCTAAAATAAGCTGCACAATAATGTGCATCTGGGTGACATTTTCGAAGTTGACGACTTTGAACTTGATATTTAATTTTAAAATTTCCAGTATATTGCATTGCACGATTTGTTGTTGAATTTTTAGGCCAGAATTGAAGTCGAATCCACTCAGTACTAGGTATATAAATTGTTTCTGGCAAAGGATCACCATATTTGCAGTTAAGACGAGAAATAATAGTTTCTTGAAGGTCACGTATAGAAATAAACCATGGCAAGTATAAAATAGATTCATGACGTCTATCATCAACAGCTGGAGTATTCTAATTAAATAATAATAATAAGTGTATTATTAATTAAAATATAAATTAATTTATAATAAATATTTAATTAAAATACCTCATTAAAAAAGGCCTGTAACTTTGCCCAAAATATATCAAAATTTGATCCTTTAAACTCATTATTTGTTCGAAGATCAAAAATAATATTAGGATCTTCAAGTTCTAGCATTAATCTTAATCGCTCTTGTACATCTTTACTAACAGTATTCAAAGTAGATGCATCGCCAGTAAGGTCACAATACAACATATTAAGAACACTTGAATTTAATGTTTTTATTAATGAATACTAAATAAATAAATAAATAAATAATAAGAATATAATTTACTAATATGTATATAGTATATATAAATACTTACTTTATTAATAACATTTTTTCTCATCATTCGAGTCATAAATTGTGGTATAATTTTATTAATTGAAGTAATTGTTTGTGCATTACGAGTTTCATGTTCATTATTAATATGTTCAGGCTCACTAATTCGCCAAACATAATTAAGATTGCCAAGATAGTTTCCTTGACTATATCTAAATACAAATATATAATTTTTAATTTAGTTTTATTTTTTAGCAAATACAAACTTATAAATATATATACCTATATAAGCAAATTGAAAAAGATAATTTTAGCTGAATAATCCATCGGTGACGCTCAATACATTCTGATGGAAGAAACTCAGAAATTTCAATAAAATCATAAAGTTCTCTATTAGCAAGGTTTTTTTCTAGCTCTTCATATTTAGAATCGATTTTTAAACTGCCTAAGATTATTTTAAGTTTACAATGTTTACTAGGTGTACGAACTAACTCAGTAGAATAATGTGCATTGTTAGTAAGTTGTAAAGATTTTTGTAAATGTTCAGCATATTTTCGCATCATAATAGCCAGGTTAAAAACCTCAGGAATAATTTCTAACCAACATTTTCTACTCGCCCATATTTCACTAGCACTATACTCTATAGATTTGCAATGTTCAAGTAATTTTTGGCAGGAAAGTTTTTCTTTTTTGTGATGTGTTTTAAAATAATATGTATTATAAATAGAATCTGATTTGTATTTTGGCAATTGCTGAAATAAAGAAGGTATATAACATGAACGACTTTTAAGCAATTGGATGTGCGGATCAATATACCAAATTGCACTAGACAAATGCTCTAAAAATACTTTTCCCCTTGTATTTTCACATCCAGCAGGCCATCCTCCACCTTTTTCTTTAAGAAGATCAATAAGATCATTATAGAGGCAGTCACGACTATTGCCTCTGGATAGTTTTTTAGGGAAAAAAAGTTGTCTTGCATTATCCATCAATATTACATTTGCATTTTGCAATACAGGTTGTGGAATTTCTTGTGGTTCAATATGTTCAAGTAAAAATTTAACAAATTTAAAATTTAATTGAACTAACGCCTGTAAATAATCATCCAATCCATCTTGCAACATTGTCCATGTATCTTTTTTTTTTTCACGCCCGAAGACTTGAATTTTTCTATTTGAAAATTTATCATTAGCAACTTCAGATAGCAGGTCACTGAAAGTTCCACTATTCACAATATGGGCTATGTTAATTGCAGTTTCGTATAGAACATTAGATGATTCTTCTATCATTACATGAATATAAAACATGATTAACAATCGTGTGAAAATCTTTGCAGAAAATCGGGTTAATAAAAATAAATAAATATGCTTTAACTTAAAATGGTAAGTTGATTTATATGTATATATGCTTTAACTTAAAATGATAAAGTTGATTTATACGTATACGGGATGATCATACTTAACGAAAATTTTTTTATTTTTTTTTTTATATGTACATCCAATCGACCCCCCCCCCCTCTTCCGAGATGTAGAGGGGGGTAATGTAAAACACAGAATCCAGTTGGTCTCGCCTTATTATTTATTATTATAGTCACTGATTAATTTAACCGGATATCCGGATATCTGACGGATGATCAAAGTCTATCCGAGTATAATTAATTTACGGATAGTTTATTTATAAATCCGCATAGGATCGGAGGTAGCTAGGATTTTAAGGCTACGGATCGCTACTCTAGTTCAATTCAGAATAGGTTCATAACAATCGACCTTTCAAAATTATGCCACTATCTGTAATATCTAACATCCAAAAACTTTAAATTTTTAACGCAAAAAAAGTTACAGCGCTTTGCAATAAAGTGTGACATCTGCAGATCATGATGTCATGTGAAATTACGTAAAATCAGCTGATTCTAGTAAATTTTTTAATTCTCGGAGAATCTTACAGATTCTAGTATATTACCATAACTGTTACATAATTGTTCTATTTTAATTTCAAAAAAACCTTGCTAAAAAAACATTCGTTAACATGCCCACTGCTTATAGTAATGATTTGAAATGGCGTATGATATATATAATTATTCAGTAGCGCAAGTTGCAAACCTTCTTTATATTAGTGAAAGTCTGGTAAGAAAAGTATTACGGCTATATAAAAAATGGGGAACTATAATCAATCCATGGCAGAAAGTACGTGGATCGTCTAAAACTTAAATTACTATTGACAAAGTAAAATTCAAATACTCTTTTGAACTTAATGAATAATTATAATATTCTATTTTTTGCTGGACAAAGTCTACTCCAATTCGGATTGAAGATTTTTGCAAATGCATATTTTACAGTATCTGTTCGGTTACCTCTATCTGGCACATTAGACAAGTCGCAATTACATTTTTCTTGTTGTAAATTAATTCCACAAAACATGCATTTCCGACAACTAAAACAAGCTCTTCGACGATACTTTAATTTGGTTTCTTGAACATCGGCCATTTTGGTTATTTATCAAGAGAAATGTATTACATATATAAAAAAAATAAAAATAAATAGCTTTATACTGATTTAATCATAAATATGTAATAATTATTTTTTTATATCGATCACTGATCAAAACATGATTAAAAAAATAATTGTATATAAAAAATGTATACAATTCTATATAATTTCATATAGATTCTCAAAATCCGATTCACTATTAGAATCTTGGAGATTCCTTTTTTATCATGATGTCACACTTTATTGCAAAGCGCCGTAAACAAAGCCACATGTACGTGGTAGTACGCACTCTCAATAGATATCGTACCGTGCATCACTGAATGATGTAAACATTATTTGATTGCCTTTCAAATGAAATGGAATCAGATAGAGAAGGACAGTCTCTAAATATATTTTTAAATATTGATGTTTCTAAAAACGAGGAAGCACTAGAACACTATTTAAAATCTACTGGAGACGTGAGTCCTGAAATACAAAATGACATAGGATGGTGCTATCAATACGGAATAGGTATTAACAAAGACGAAAAGAAAGCATATGAATGGTATTTAAAGGCTGCAGAAGAAGGCAACTTTAGTGGGTGCAACAACCTTGGTTGGTGCTTTGAAAATTGCATAGGTGTTGATAAAGATGAAAATGAAGCATTTAAATGGTATTTAAGATCAGCCGAAGGTGGAAATTCTAGTGGACAAAATAATCTTGGGCGTTGTTACGAAACCGGAATAGGTACTGCTAAGGATGAAACTGAAGCATTTAGATGGTTTTTAAAATCGGCAAAAGGAAGTAACCCTAGCGGACAATTCAATCTTGGATTATGCTATAGGAATGGTAAAGGTACATGTCAAAATATGGAAGAGGCTACAAAATTTTTTCGAAAAGCAAGAAGTAATCAATGTCAACATGTAGATTATGGAGATTTAGATATTGATCTTGTTAACTTCTTAAAAAATTCAATGAATGAAAACAAATATCAACAATTTTGGATTCCACCTAATGAACTAAGAGATAAACAAAAAAAAATTGGAGGTGGCCAATTTTCTACTCTGTATTCTACGCAATGGACATATTTACATAAACATGGAGCAAGAACAAAAATGGTTATTCTAAACCAATTTTGCGGATCAAACCAAAATAACAAGTTGCTCATGAAAGAGGTAAAATATAATAATCATTATTTTATACACATAGCATAATTTCATTACTAATATTAAAATTTATTTTTGAAGCTAAAAGTATATTACATGATTGGGTGTAAAGATCCTTCATTTCTTCAATGTTATGGAGTATCAAAAGATGTAAAAACTGGTGATTATTGTTTGGTCATTCAATACGCACCATTAAGTACTTTGAATCATAATCTTTATCAAGTTGCACGAATGAAATGGATAGAAAAAGTAAATTTATTATTCTATATAGCTCATGACCTTCAATTGATTCATTCTCTTGAAATTATCCATTGCAATCTACAAGATGGTACCATATCGCAATATAATATACACAGTGCATATATAAGCAGCTTTTCATTATCATTGTTAGTTGATGAGGCATCAATGGTAAAACCAAAAATCATCGGAAGTCCTTTACATACAGCACCAGAAGCTTTAGCCGGCAAGTCATTCATCAAAGCCTCAGATATTTATTCCTTTGGAATACTCATGTGGCAAATTTCTTCGGGAGAGCCTATGTATAATAAAGAGATAACTAAATTGCTAAAAGCTAAGAATGTAAAACGACCAACTATCTGCGACGGCACAATATCATGTTATTCAGACCTTATGAAAAGGTGTTGGGATGATGATCCAACAAAACGACCATCTGCTTAAAAAATTTGTAGTATTCTTACCAATTGGAAAAATAATATTGCAACATTTTATGAATCTGACCCAATTGACTATGATGAAAATAATAAAATTGATTTAATTGGCGTCCCAAAACTACTAGTAAATTCTACCGGATTAGATGACCATTTTGGCAATATTATTGATAAAATAAATGAATAACTTTTTTGGTAATTTAAAGTCTTCAATTTGACTTTAAAATAGTGATCGTATTTAATCAATGATAATAAAGTAACCAAATTTTGTATATTTAGAAAATGAAATTACAGTAGGAAGAAATCAAGGTTTATAGATTGGGATGAACTAAGTAATGTTTCAAAGCTTGATGAAGGCTATTTTGGTACGTTGAATAAGCCTACATATTGTACATATGAATAATAAAATAGTTACTTAACTACATGTCCTTTATTTTATTAGGGTTCATATTCAAAGCTTATTGGAAAAATGCGAGTAGAGATGTCGTTTGTAAGGCATTGATCAATTTGAAAGACATAAACAGTAAATATTGTGCTGCATCCATGAATTAACAATGCAAACTAGGGCAGATCTTTGTGAGAATATCGTTCGATTTTTGGGAGTCAGTAAAGGTATTTATTATTTTGTCAATTATTTTATTGTGCGTTTAATTGATTAATTATATGATACGCAGATACTATCAATGACCGGTATTTCCTTATAATGGAATATGCAACTGATGGGAATTTACGAATTTTTCTTAAAAGAAACGATCATTCACTGAATTGGCATCAAAGGTTAAAGCTGGCTTATCAGATTACAAAAGGATTGCATTATATGCACTGTGAAGATATTATTCATAGAGACTTGGTAAGGTAGCCCTAAATAACAATCTCTACTAGTACTCCGAACGAGTTGGATTGAAAACAGTTTTTTTCACATTTTGAAATAAACCAAAAAATTTGCTTGTCTCGCGAAATCTTTTCAGCTTCATTCTAAAAATCATCCAATTCTTCAGAAATCGAAGAGATTTTTGTAAACAAGCAAAATTTAATTAGTCCAGAATTTATAAGAACAAACCTGAACTTTCGGGCCGAGGGTTTACCGAAATTTACCCGACAACAACTCCTCGACAACTATTTTCCTGCAACTATTTTCCTGACAATTATTTGCTGACAATTATTTCCCTGATATAACGACAACCATTTCACCAACAATCATTTACCCAACATGACCATTTCCCCAAAATCACGTCATGTTGGGAATGGAAATGGTTGTCGGGAAAATGTTATGAAATAATTAGGCAAATGTCGGTAAACCCTGGTTGGTTTGAGTTAACTGGAACATTTTCTAATAATTATTCAATTAAGTAATTAATATCAAATAATTTTTTGATTAGCATGATAAGAACATTGTTATCCACGATGGCAAAGCAAAAATTACAGATTTTGGAAATGCCATAAGTATAAATACACAGACAAATATACTTGACGGTCTTTTTGGGATGATTTCATTTTTAGCCCCCGAATTATTTAAACAACCCGAATCGAGTAATATACTATACAGTAAGAAAACAGATATCTATAGCCTTGGCATGATATTTTGGGAATTATCAAGTGGCAGTCCACCATTTGAAAATCATTCAAATAAGATTGAGTTAGCTATCAAAATTGTTCAAGGTGACAAAGAAAATATAATTTACGGAACTCCTGATAAATATAGAGATCTTTACACCAAATGCTGGGATTCTGATCCAAATAAACGTCCAGACACTGAAGAAGTGCACAAATTGTTAGAAGAAATAATTAACTATAAAGATTTGCCAGAGATTGACACTAGTATTATTAATCCTAAAAGTATGTACGAACTTTTATTTACATGTAGTTTTAAATCTATTATATGTTAATAATATTGTTATTAATTTAATGATTAAAATTAGATAATAATAACTCAGTAACTTCAGCTGAACAAACAAAATCGGCTGAAATCGATGGTAAATTTTTATTTATTTATTTCTTTTTAGTATTATTCCACTAATATTTATATCTTTAAAACTTGATTATCATCAGATTCAAAACTTCGAGACCTTTTTTTATCGACGATAGAAACGAAACATAATATTGAATAACAGTTTTTCATATAAGGATTAAATAAGGCTATTATAAAACTTTTATCTGCGTTTTATTCCATTATATTCCTACCATCTATTTTGAATAATAAAACACATTAAAGCACACCAATGGTGCTTGGCATCGCATATTTTTTTTTACATAAATTTTATTGAAATTAATATTTTCTCGTCTATGTTGAATATGGACATACCCACTGCGCTCATTCTTAAGCACTGTAATAAAATTTCAAATCAATATATAAATGACAAAAAATGTTTAGTTAAAATTGGTTATACTCGAAATGACACTTAGTTTACTTGTTTCTCATAAAATTTACTGCGGCTTAAGCTGATAATAAAAATATTGTACCTGAACAACAAAAATCACGATAAAGTAAATTACTAGGAAATAACATTTGACATAATCATTACGTGGTCCAACGTGAGTATAGAAGTATTAGGTTAGTCAAAAGTTATCATTCGAACCATTAGCTAGTTTTTGAGATATAATAAACTCAGTTTATATAAAAAACAAGGCGACTTCATGATCACATTCTATTGTAATTGTATTGTTAATGATCCGGGACAACCTCATTGACTACTCCATGATCATTTGGAGCAAACCTCGTACACATTTTCAGTATGCCAAAAATTTTTCATCTAGAAAGAGTCTTTGCATTGAATTAAGCCAAGTATAGGTTACAACAGCAGATAGGATAACAAATAGAGGCATCACCTATATTAGACTTATTTAAAGATAATAAACATATAACGCTATATACTTGGGACTAGAGGGTCTTTATTTTCGAGAATTTTCATCTTCAAAAATAATACTATTATTTACAAAATAACGTTCGTTCACTACATGACATTCCCACAACCTTTAATTATAACATCACAAAGACTTTAATTTCTACTTTTGTATCATTATAAGGAATCCCCTTTTGGATTTGTAATGTGTACGTATTTATAGCAGTTTGCAAAATGTATCTTTGATCAAATTTTGCAGGTCGTAGTTTACATGTTCAGTCAGTCACTTGATATCGTTCGATTATGCTTCTGTAAAGTGATTTTCTTAATCAAAATTCAATACAAATAGATTGGTTTTATAATCTATATATACATATCCTTAAATAACGCTCACATTTCCAAAAATAACTTTGCACAATCGTGCAATCGGCAAAATTCAGGTGTGACACATGTAAGCAAACTTTAATTAAAGATACGTACGTATGTACGTACGTACGCATGTACATTTTACAAACAGCTATAAACAAAGCCACATGTACTATATGTACATGGTATGAATAAATTATGTATCACTCACGATTGTAAACATTATTTATTGCCTTTCAAACGAAATGGAATCTGATAGAGAAGGACAATCTTTAAATATATTTTCAAATATAGACGTTGCTAAAAATGAGGAAGCACTAGAACAATATCTAAAATATACTGAAGAAGTGAGTCCTGAAATACAAAGCAATATAGGATGGTGTTATCAATATGGAATAGATATTAACAAAGATGAAAAGAAAGCATATGAATGGTATTTAAAAGCTGCAGAAGAAGGTAGCTTTCGTGGATGTAATAATGTTGGTTGGTGTTTTGAAAATGGTATAGGTGTTGATAAAGATGAAAATAAGGCGTTTGAATGGTATTCAAAATCAGCACAAGGCGGTAATTCTAGTGGGCAAAATAATCTTGGGCGTTGCTACGAAAGTGCAATAGGCACTGATAAAGATGAAAACAAAGCATTTAAATGGTTTTTAAAATCAGCCAAAAGTGGAAATCCTAGTGGGCAATTCAATCTTGGTTTATGTTTTAGAAATGGCAAAGGTACACATCAAAATACGAAAGAGAGTACAAAATATTTGCAAAAAGCAAGAAGTAATCAGTGTCAACATGCAGATTATGAAAATTTAGATATTGATCTTTCTAACTTCTTAAAAAGATCAATATCTGAAAAAAAATATCAATTATTTTGGATTCCGCCTAATGAACTAAGAAACAAACAATTTATTGAAGGTGGCGTATTTTCTATTCTGTATTCTACCAAATGGACATATTTACATAAGCATGGAGAGAGAACTAAAATGGTTATTCTGAAACAATTTAAAAAAAATAACTTTGAGATACTCATGAAAGAGGTAAATATTTAATAAATAGCATTTTATGCATGCAACATAATTTCAACCACTAATTAAAAATTTTATTTTTTAAAGCTAAAAGCATATTACATGATTGGATGTAATGATCCTTCATTTCTTCAATGTTATGGAGTATCGAATGATGAAAAAACTGGTGACTATTGTTTGGTCATTCAATTCGTACCGTTGGGTTCTTTAAAACATAATCTTGATTCTATTGCGCGAAAGAGATGGATGGAAAAAATAAATTTATTATATTACATAGCTCATGACCTTCAATTAATTCATTCTCTTGATATTATCCATTGCAAATTGGATGATGAAAGTATATTACAGTATGATATACATAATGCATATATAGTTAGCTTTTCATTATCATTATCAGTCCACGATGCATCGATGGTAAAACCAGAATTAATTGGAAATCTTCTATATGCGGCACCGGAAGTTCTATTAGAAAAATCATTCACCAAAGCAACAGATATTTTCTCCTTTGGAATACTTATGTGGCAAATTTCTTCAGGACAATCTATTACTTCTGAATATGGAAATGATGCATATACTTATTCGTCTATGTTAAATATTTATAACGGAATGCGACCAACTATCCGTGAAGGCACAATATCATGTTATGCAAACCTTATGAAAAGATGCTGGGATCATGACCCTACAAAAAGACCATCTGCCTCAAAAATTTGTAGGATTCTCACTAAATGGAAAAATGACATTGCAACATTTTATGAATCAGATCCGATCGACTATGATGAAAATAATGAAATTGATTTAATAAATTCCACCAACTTAGATGAAGAACGTTATAGCAATATTGTTGATAAAATAAATGAAGAACTTTTTGGTAATTTAATATCTTTATCTGACTTTAAATATTAACCATATTTAATCAATGATAATGATACTAAAGTACTTAAATTTAGAAAATGAAATTAGGAAGAAATCAAGGTTTATAGACTGGGATGAACTAAGAAATGTTTCAAAACTTGATGAAGGCTACTTTGGTACGTTGAATAAGCTATATATTATGCATTATAAATAATTAAATAGTTACTTAACTTCATGTCTTATATTTTTTTAGGGTTTATATTCAAAGCTTATTGGACAAATGCACGTAGAGATGTCGTTTGTAAGGCGTTGATCAACTTGAAAGACATAAACAGTAAATATTGTGCTGCATTTATTCATGAATTAACAATGCAGACTAGAGCAGATCTTTGTGAAAATATCGTTCGATTTTTGGGAGTCAGTAAAGGTATTAATTATTTTGTCAATTGTTTTATTGTGTTTAATTGATTAATAATAATATGATACGCAGATACTATCAATGACCGATATTTTCTTATAATGGAATATGCAACTGATGGGAATTTACGAATTTTTCTTAAAAAGAACAATCATTTACTGAATTGGCGCCAAAGATTTGAGCTGGCCTGTCAAATTACAAATGGATTACATTATATGCACAGTGAAGATATTATTCACAGAGATTTGGTAAGGCATCCATAAATAATAATCTCTACTTAATACTCCGAAGGGGTCGGATTGAAAGCAGTTTTTCATGCTTTGAAACAACCAAAAATTTGCTTGTCTCCCGAAATATTTTCAGCTTCGAAGAGATTTTTGCAAACAAGCAAATTTTAAGTTCCTCCAGAATTTATGAGAACAAACCTGAACTTCCCGAACTTTCGGGTCGAGTTAATTAGCTCGACCGGATCATTTATCTGATAATATTTTAAATTTATTAATGAAAAAAAAAATTTTTATTAGCATGATAAAAACATTGTTATTCACGATGGCAAAGCAAAAATAACGGATTTTGGAAATGCTATAAGTATTAACACACAGACAAATATACTTGACGGTCTTTTTGGGATGATTTCGTTTGTTGCTCCTGAATTATTTAAACAAGCCAAAACGGACAATATACCATACGGCGTGAAAACAGACATCTATAGCCTTGGCATGTTATTTTGGGAATTATCTAGTGGTCGTCCACCATTTGAAAATCAATCAAATAGAATTGAATTAGCTATCAAAGTTGTTCAAGGTGATAGAGAAGATACAAGATATGGAACACATGAATATAGGAATCTTTATATCAAATGCTGGGATGCGGATCCATATAAACGTCCAGACACTGAAGAAGTGCACAAATTGTTAGAAGAAATAACGAACTCTAAAAACTTGCCAGAAATAGACCCTAGTACTATTAATCTTGAAGGTATGTATAATCTCTTTATTTAGTTTTACAGTAAATCTACTATATATTAAATATTATAGTTATTTATTTAATGATTTAAATTTAGATGACAATAACTCAAAAACTTTAGTTGAACAAACAAAATCGACTGTATTCAATGGTAAATTTTTACTTATTGTACTGTATTTCTTTTTTTAATACATCCTGTATTATTCTATTGATATTAATTCTTATGTTTGTAATTACCATCAGATTCAAAACTTCAGGATCTTAATTTGCGGACGACAGAAATGAATCTTAATTGAATTAGAAGTTTTTCAAATAAGGATTGCATAAGTCTATTGTAAAAGTTCTATTTGCAGTTTTATTCTATTAGCATTCCTAATTTTTATTTATTTTGAGTATTATCACATTGAAAATAATAAAATCATAACTATTTGTTTATAATTTTTTTATTGGAGAATTGATATTTCCACACGCATGATACATGTGGCACACCTACTGACCTATTCTTCAGCTAATAAAGTTACAAGATCATTGTATAGATGAAAAAATTTAGTCAAAATTGCTTGTTTCTCGAAATATTGTATTAAACTGCATTTAAGTGAATACTCTGTTCTCAAAATTCGCTATGGTTTTAAACTTGATCAACAAAAATTAAGTGCGAGAAAGATTACTTGGAAATAATATTTGGCATATTAGTTACAGGTGTGACATGATTCAATGTGAGTATGAAAGTATTGAAATTGATTAGAAATTATTATTATGATAGGTTCTTTTGAGCGTATTTTTATTAAGATACTAATCACTTAGCTAGTTTTTTGAGATATACCGTTGGTCATTGTATACAGCATCCCAAATTAATACCCCCATTATTAAGACCCAGGTATTATATTTCTTGATAAAACCCGGAGGTATAGCTATATTTATTTACTACTTTTACTATGTTATGTCTTCAAATATAGTACCCAGTTCTTCACACAGTTTCCACAGGTATTATTCAATTTTAAAAATGTAGTTCATAGATAAGACCCCGGGTACTGCATGCAATGATTTAGATTGATATATTAATGATCCGGGATGGACTTCTTGACTATTAAAAAAAGTTCTTTAGTTTTGAGGTTTTACTAAGAATTACAATCGATTTCTCAAAAACCATACAGTACCATTCATTACTATAGTAACATTAATTCACTACATGACATTTTAATTATAATATCACAATATCTTTAAATTCAAACTTTTATGTTGCTGTAAAGACTCTTTTGGATTTGTTTTACACACACAATTACATAAACAAAGACACATGTACTGTGATGTACGTACGTACGTGGTAGTACGTTTGTATGAATAAATTATGTATCACTCACGATCGTAGACATTGTTTGATCTTTCAAATGAAATGGAATCAGATAGAGAAGGAAAATCTCTAAATATATTTTCAAATATAGACGTTGCTAAAAATGAGGAAGCACTAAAACAATATTTAAAATATACTAAAGATGTGAGTCCTGAAATACAAAATAACATAGGATGGTGCTATCAATACGGAATAAATATTAACAAAGACGAAAAGAAAGCATATGAATGGTATTTAAAGGCTGCAGAAGAAGGTAATTTTCATGGGTGCAACAACCTTGGTTGGTGCTTTGAAAATGGCATAGGTGTTGACAAATATGAAAATGAGGCATTTAAATGGTATTTAAGATCAGCCGAAGGTGGCAATTCTAGTGGACAAAATAATCTTGGCCGCTGCTATGAAAGTGGAATAGGCACTGATAAAGATGAGAATAAAGCATTTAAATAGTTTTTAAAATCAGCCAAAGGTGACAATCTCAGTGGACAATTTAATCTTGGATTATGCTATAGGAATGGTAAAGGCACACGTCAAAATATGGAAGAGGCTATAAAATTTTTACGAAGAGCAAGATGTAATCAATGTCAACATGTAGATTATGAAAATCTAGATATTGATCTTGTTAAATTTTTAGAAAATTCAATGTCTGAAAACAAATATCAATTATTTTGGATTCCACCTAATGAAATAAAAAACAAACAAGAAATTATTGGAAATGATTCATTTTCTGCCAAGTTTTCTGCTGAATGGACATATTTACATAAAAATGGTGCAAAAACTAAAATGGTTATGTTAAAATTAATTTATGGATTAAAATACAATTGTAAGCAACTTATGAAAGAGGTAATTATTTAATAACCCCAATACTTTATGTATGTAATTTCCATCAAAAAAATTAATTATTTTTTTTATATTGAAGCTAAAAGCATTCTACGACGTTGGATGCAAGAATCCTGCATTTCTTCAATGCTACGGAATATCGAAAAATGAGAAAAGTGGTAACTACTTTTGGTCATTCAATACATGCCATTAGGTTCTTTGGTACATTATCTTGATGATGTTGCACGAATGAAATGGATAGAAAAAGTAAATTTACTATCCTATATTGCTCATGACCTTCAATTAATTCATTCTCTTGATATAATACATTTCACTTTGAGTGATAAACTATATTACTGTATGATATGTATAATGCATATATAAGTTACTTTTTATTATCAAAATCAGTACATGATATATCTGAAGTAGGACCAGTAACGATTGGAAATATTTTACACACAGCACCGGAAGTTTTAGTCGAGGAGTCATTCACCAAAGCAGCAGACATTTACTCTTTTGGAATACTTATGTGGCAAATTTCTTCAGGACAGTCTGTTAACTGAATATGGTGCAGATAAATATGTATACATACTTACGTTAAACGCTCATGATGCAATACGACCAACTATCCATGAAGGCACAATATCATGTTATGCAGACCTTATGAAAAGATGCTGGGATAGTGATCCAACCAAACGACCATCTGCTTTAAAATCTACAGGATTCTCACTAAATGGAAAAATAATATTGCAACATTTTATGAGTCTGATCCAGTCGACTATGATGAAAACGATGAAATTGATTTAACAAGTTCCACCGACTTAGATGAAGAACGTTTTGACAATATTACTGATAAAATAAATGAGGAACTTTTTGGTAATTTAACATCTTTATTTGACTTTAAATGGTTAACTATATAATTAATGGTACTAATGTAGCAAATTTTGTATACTAAGAAACCGCAATTGGGAAGAAATCAAAGTTTATAGATTGGGATGAACTAATAAATGTTTCAAAACTTGATGAAGGCTACTTTGGTACGTTAATAAGCCCTACATACTGTACATTATAAATAATAAAATAATTACTTAATGTCTTATATTTTTTAGGGTTCATATTGGAAAAATGCGAGTAGAAATGTCGTTTGTAAGGCATTGATCAACTTGAAAGACATAAACAGTAAACATTGTGCTGCATTTATCCATGAATTAACAATGCAAGCTAGGGCAGATCTTTGTGAAAATATCGTTCGATTTTTGGGAGTCAGTAAAGGTATTTATTATTTTATTTTGTCATTTATTTCATAGCATATTTAATTTATTAATTATATTATACGTAGACACTATCAATGACCGATATTTTCTTATAATGGAATATGCAAATGATGGAAATTTACGAATGTTTCTTAAAAGAAACAATCATTCACTGAATTGGCACGAAAGGTTAGAGCTTGCCTGTCAGATTACAAAAGGATTGCATTATATGCATAGTGAAGATATTATTCACAGAGACTTGGTAAGGTAGCCTTAAATAATCTCTATTTAGTACACCGAACGGGTTCGAGTTAGGTTGAAAGCAGTTTTTCACATTTTGAGACAAACAAAATTTGTTGAATCACAAAACCTTTTCGTGTTCGTTCTAAAACCACCTAATCTTCAGAAATCGGAGAGGTTTTTGTAACCGAGCAAATTTATAGTTTGTCCAAAATTTGAGAACAGACCTAAAACTTCTGGTCGAGTTAACTAGCTCGACCGGAGCACTTTTCTATTTTAAATTTAAGTGATTAATATCAAAAAAATTTTTGATTAGCATGATAAGAACATTGTTATCCATGATGGTAAAGCAAAAATAACGGATTTTGGAAATGCTATAAGTATTAACACACAGACAAATATACTTGAAGATCTTTATGGGATGATTTCTTTTGTAGCTCCTGAATTATTTAATCAAGCCAAATCGGATAAAATATCATACAGCAAGAAAACAGACATCTATAGCCTTGGTATGTTATTTTGGGAATTATCTAGTGGTCATCTGCCATTTGAAAATCAATCAAATATAGCTATTAAAGTTGTTCAAGGTGAAAGAGAAGATACAAGATATGGAACACATGAATATAGGAATCTTTATATCAGATGCTGGGATGCAGATCCAAATAAACGTCCAGACACTGAAGAAGTGCGTAAATTGTTAGAAGAAATATTGAATTCTAAAAAAGTGCCTGACCCTAATTTTGAAGGTATGTATATAATTTTATGTAATTTTAAGTATATAGTTATTTATCTAATGCATAAATTTTAGATGACAATAACTCAACTTCAACTGAACAGACACCATCAATTGAAACCTATGGTAAATTACATTCAGTATATTTCATTTTAATATTATCCATTAACATTTATATTTTTATGCTTATGTTATTTTGTAATTAGCAGTAGATTCAAAACCTCTGAGTCTTTCTGTCGATGAAAGAAACGATGATTAATAGAGTTGGAAGTTTTTCAAATAAGGGTTAAATAAGACTATCACAAAAGTTTTATTTATTCTGTTATATAACATTCAGTACATCCCTAATAATTAAAGTATTGGTATTTGATAAGAATGTTAATAAAGCATAAAGCACACCAGAGATGGTAAGCACTGCATATTTTTTAGAATAATGTTTATTGAGGAATTAATATTTCTATACCACTGCGCTTGTTCTTCAAAAAATAAAACTTCATGATCATAGTGTAAATTCAAAAAGTTTACTTAGTTAAAATCGTGTCTCAAAGTATCATATTAAACTACAATTTAAGTATACGCTTTGTTTCTCACAGAATTTGTTATAGTTTTAATTTTGATGTAAAATTATTATACCTGAGTAACGAAAAATTACGTGTGGGGTGAATTTATTGGAAACACTATTCGACATACAGTCGCACTTCATTAAGTGCATCCTTTAGGGGCCATATTGCATTGAGAAATGATTGAATTTATAAAGTTAAAATTTATAGAGCTCTTATAGTGTTTAAAATTTAGATTGAAGCCTACATGCACTAATGCAGCTGTGTCATAGGTTTTGATTACGCAAACCAACTACGTACGTACTAGAACAACCAGTTGCATTAGTTGTATAAATGTGCATATAAATTTTATTTTTATATGCACATATTTATTATCTCTGAATGACGCCAACGCTATAAAATTACTATATCAAATATATCTTAATCTTGCACGTATTTTATGTATTTTATGTTTATTCTAGTGATGTCTCCCAAACTGTTTCGGAACCAAATTACGGATACGGCAACTTTTGATCGGGATTTGGGATTTTGCAGATATTTAACTATTAGTCACATGATATGATAAAAATTTTTTATCGGAAAAATAAATTTTACTGCTAAGTTACTAGATAATTAGTAATTTTTTTTTTTTTAATACGCTTACAAAAATAAAAACAATAACAAAAAAAATTAATACTTATTTTGTTTTCATATCATTGCATAGTAGTATGACTTAAAGTATGTATGTTTATTTCAATTAAAAATTCTACATGTTACAATAAATTTTATAGTAATATTCAATAAACTGGCGAAAATTATTTAATTGTTCACACGAAATTATTTACTAAAAAAATTTGAAAGTGCTAGAAATCAAAGAGCATAACGTCAGTATTAAACAGCGAAAAGAATTGTTTAAAAAAAAATTTTGATCATTATGAAAATAATATTTGTGAAGTAATTTATTCTTTAATCGCGGCGAATTAGATGACATTAAATTTTAGCCACACTGATCAGTGATGGCTAAATTTTTGAAATGATTTTGCTTTTTTTGTCATTAATTAAAAGTAAATTTTAATCGTAGCTACTTATAAGTTAAATTCAAAATACCTTCTCTAAAATTCAAAACCTTATAAATTCATCATCGGTCACGCGGTCAGTCAAGTCGTTCCATAACCGATAATGAGTTTTCAGATTTTGAATTTTAAAGAAGGTATTAAAGCTTTACTTAATTAAAAGTTCATTGCAGTTTAATTTGATCAAGTTTCTGCCTGCATGTCAAATTTCCCTTGCAGATTTTGATCAAATTTCGAGCGATCAAGTTCGTCATAATATCAAATTACATAATTAATGATAGAACATTTATTACTTAGTATCGCTAAAAAATCTTAATTTCTAATATAATATTTCACTTCACGAATATAACATGAAGAATCATATATACTTTGCTAAAATCGTTCATTTTTATACAAGCGTAGTATTCGCATTTTTTTAGGCTTGTAATGGAGGTATATTAGCCTCTTCTCAAGCTCGTTAATTGTGCTAGTAAGAAGCTTGAAAATAAATAACTTAGAAATATAATAGTATAAATTAAGGCTTGTATAATGATTATATTAGCTTAATAAAAGCATTTGTCATTTAATAATAAAAAATTTTATTATTGTATTTTTTTGCTTGCCGATAATATAATTTGCAGTTTATTACAGTATATAAGGAATACAAATATTATATTACATTACATAGATTTATTACTCTTATTATTTTAACCTATACGTTCTTAAATTAAATATCTATAAGGCTAGAATGTGCGATAGTCACAAAATAACTCTCATAAACGCTAATTTGAAATTTTACCTTTAATTGGATTCAACTTCTTATTTTGCAATAAGGCACATAAATGTCTTGAACTAACGTGCATATGAATAAAACAACAAACGTTATGCTATTTTGCAGCTATACAGTAATTTGTTGGCTTTGCATTAAATCGTAAATAGTAATAACTGAATTAAATTGCATAATAGCTTCTATAAGTAAAATTTGTGGAAAAATCTAAAGTTCTATTTGTAAAAACACAAATTCCAATTAAATATACATTAATTTAAATACATTGACTTATAAATAATTATTAAATAAACTTACATTATTTTAAATTGATTAATTAATAATATTTTTTAATCATCTATTAATACGAATAAATAAATTAAATGAGATAGTATTAACAATTAATTTACATGACCAAAGTAAGAGATGATATAAAATACCAAGATTTCATAAGTATTGTGGTCGACGTTGGTGCCTCTGGTATTCCATAAGGGTTAGTGATAATGATCGGGTTGCATGAATGGTGTGATTCAGGATTGCACAGAATAATTAAAAGTTAAATTAGTGATTGCATGAACAATGTAGTAATAATTAGCGATTAGTAATAATAGTGATTATGAGAAAGTATGTAATGATTAGTGATGCAAAATAGTGATTAGTAATTAATATAAGACATTGATCCAATATGGGGAAGTGTCTAGATTGAAAGCCTAAGTTTCATACTTGTAATAACTTTGTTCTTAGTGAATAAACAATTACCTGTGTAAGCATATTATATTATCATCGGTAGAAGAACCTGTATGATACACGGTCTTCGAATATACTAGCCAAGCAAGTAGAGACTTGTAGTAAAGACACAGTAGTAGTAGAAAACTACATGACACTAAGGAATATTTGATTGTTGAGTTATGAGTAATATTGAAAAAGTGTTTTCTTAATTTTAAAATTTGGATTGGACGTAAGCTATATATCTTCAGAATTTTTTTGGACATAATCAACTAATATACTATATATTGTGATCGTGGTCGGCATCCTTAAAGTAGAAAATTTTAGAATATAAGATCTTTCTTTAAACATATAGAGCATATATACGAAATAGAAAAAGGAAAGTATATCACTTATCAACTATGACTTGTATATATATACATGATTATTTGACTTGTACAACCTATAATAGAAAGCAATACTTTCACTGTTTTTGTCTCTTTCAAATAAAAGAATCTTA